TCCAGATGTTGCTCAGCATCCACCTGAAGCACCTGTTTACTAACAGGATCACAATAAGCACCAATTTAAAAGGTGAAACTATGTCACTGTTGTGTTTACAGCTTGTAATGCAGGTTATTGCAGGTTCCAACAGATAACCATTTTCTTACATATCCACATGTAGTGACTTAAGTGCCAGGATTATATGATTGTTTTTGGATTTGCAGCAGTTTTTTCTGTTGCTTGACAAGTAATCTTAAGTGCTAATCCAATTTAATTCTATCTACATGGGGCAATGTTGATTATGACATATAATATAATACGTGACTGATTTGCACAGTGTAGAAGTTTGTGTCTCCTCGCAGGAAGGAGTCTCAGCCAGAAACCTCTCCAAGGTCTGTGATCTGATTGGTTTTAATCTCTTCACCTCCCCTTGGCTTCTCTTCAGTCTTGCTCTTAGCTGCTGCTGAGACACTCTTCTTGGGGGAGTGTGTGTGCAGAATATGTGTGTATGAGTGTGTGTGGGTTGTTCTCAAGTGCGTCGGACATGGGCGGGACTGTGTGTTAAGTGTCTCCTTCAAGAAGGGTCATCCTGCATTTGCTCACCCAGTGCTCAAAGATTAGTTCACTTTGACCTGACTCCCAACTGGCAGCTTTATTAAATATTCCCCAATAATCTGTTCTTTGATACTCTAGCTTTCAACATTACCTTGGATAGAGTGGTTTTGAACACTTTAAGAGCCTTGCTTGATTGTTGTCACACTGTTTTTGACAAAAGAAACAAGTGTAATTATTGACAATGTGGTAACACTTTATCATAACTTAAAAATTTTTTTTATAATCCATTTGCATATTTTGTGTTTAACTCTGACATGAGAAATCAACCATAAAACATCATTAGATACTGGCAGACATATTAGTGAAAAATAATGAAGGGCAAAGACATTCAACAGTTTGTATTTTTATATCTCTGATGTGATTGAAAAACAGGCTGCAAATGAGTTATAAAATCTATATAGAATAAAGTGTTACTGGCATCACAGTATGGCACACAATGCTGTTTTTATCCACTGCTATTTGGTCTTTTTGTGTCTCCTCTAATGCCCACCACTCCAGTAATGAAAGCGCACACAAAGACAGACTTTGCGGGTGCTGTCCGAGAACCATTAGGTATAGTTGCTGTACAGATACTAACAACTGCTCTGCAAGTCTGTGTGTCTCTGTTCCTCTTCCTCTTTAACAGAAGTATAGTAAAGGAAGAGAAATCGCAAAATAAGAACATTTTAAATCTACTTGACTTTTTATAGTGTAGTGTAGCTCTGACAGTGATGTCACCATGAAAGACTAGAGCTAATCTGGCCACATGTTTGACCTTTTACTCAGAGAAAAAAGCAGATACACATCTTTGTTTACTGCCCTGTCAAAGTTGATTTATAGTTTATGTTTAGTAATGTCTTTATGCAGCCACTTTGCATGCTGCCTGTTTTGTCTATTCAGCCGTTATAGTCTTATGTTCAGTGGGCAAGGTGCACATTGCTGAGTACCTAACAATGCTTGTCAGGCAGAACATACAGTATGATGATGAATTCTGCTGCATGATTTGTGTTCACCTTTTGCATAGAGTGAGAACAGCTCTTCATTTTGAGACATGCAGTGTCACTTTGCTTCCAATGCATGTTTGCTACCCGCTGCTTGCCTGACACACTATTTGTGGACATGGCTCCTGCTGCTGTAGGACATTGCCCATTTTGCGTTTCTGCTGAGGTAAGATTTTCAGTGCTGATTTCTAAAATTTCCCCGATTACACTTAAAAACACAACACAGTAGAATAAAGACAGTTACAGATAGTTGATTTTTTTTAAACAATACGTTAAATAAACTGTTTAATCAGCTAAATTTCCTTTCTAATTACTTGCTTTTTGTAGTCGGAAGACCAGCGTGAAGGACAAGGCTTTATTCAGTCCTTCGAAGGCTCCTGTGGCCAAGGGGAAGGCCCAGTCTCCGGGGGCAGAGGAGGGGGAGGCTGAGGCGAGTCCCAGCAAGGTCGCCAAGAGCTGGAGCTTCACCGAGAAGAGCCGAGGGTCAAAAGCCACCCTCAGAGTCCGTGGCAGCACCTCACGCCAAAACTCCGATGGTGAGGGAACACCACACAGTACAGAGTAACATCTGACCAGGTTAATAATGTGTGTTAAATTGCAGGGTTTGACCAATAGAAGGACAGACCACTACCACTGCTTTTGTTTTAGAAACAATGAATAGTAAAATGAGCCAGCTATTTACTCTGTAGTTCTGTTAAAGTGGAAAGCCTCTGAAACTGCATTTAAGCCACCATGAAACAGTAAACTTTGTAGAGCAACTATTTTAAGCATGGCAAAGAAGCCACAGCCAGGGGACGGTTAGCTTGGAAGCAGGGGTAAACAGTCAGCCCAGCTCCATCCCAGAGCAGAAACATGCACCTAACAGTGCCTGTCAAGCTAACTGGGATGTTTAATATGAATTGTAATCTCTATAATTTTTTTTAATAACTGTGTTTATTTTTTTATTTCAAATACAGTTAGATTTTTTTTTACCTTGAACAGATTCAGGGTGCTTGCTCTTCCTCCTCCTCCTTTGAAAGCAATTTTCCAAAAAGTATGAATAAAAATACATTTTTATAAAATATGGTTTTAAAATAATACACGACAAGACGCCTTATCGATAAAAGGTCAATATACCGTAGGATACGTATGCTGGGTATTTTAGCAAAACAATATATTGATTTAATCCTAATGGTGTCTAAAAATCAAAAATCTCACTCTGCAGTTGTAAAAATCTACTCTGTTTGCGTTCAGATCACAACTGTTCATTAATGAGGCTGTATACAATACAAAAGCTTGCTTGGCTAATGTTCCGTTGTTATTAGTGGAATTTTCTACACAGAGCTTTGTGTGGATCTATGTCAACTCAGCTGTGTTTCTAGAAGGAGGGTGTACTTAGTTGTAATCACACCTCTTTAGGCTGCAGTCACTGTGCATACTTTGAGGTAATAGTGTAGTTTCTCCTGCATGTATTCATATACACATATAAGGAAGACTGAGAGTTTGTCAGCACCCTAAAGCCGACGTTTCAACATTTAGCTGGGGAGGTAGAGTGTTGGTTTGGACATCAGTGTCTGGCCTCATTTATCACTAGACAGGCCAACAGCATCCATATGTCATCCAGACCACTGTACCACTATCAACAAATATATTTCTCTCCTTCACCATTTCTTTGCCTTTTTGTTGAACAGTTTAAAGCAATTCTCATTAGTTGTTTTTCCTCTTCCGCTTCATGGCATGTTAAAGTGCTGATTGAAATGCAGGACGAAGACTTTGGACTGAAGAGGTCTCCAGGTTAGATCATGACATGTCTTCAGTTTAGACTGTATTACCCTGTAATGTCTGGATGTTTAGTTTACCATTTATGTTATATAAAGCTTTATAATATATGCAGGTGGTAGTGTAAATGTAAGAGAAGAGGGACCTGCCCTTTGGAACAAGAATTAGAAATCACTCACTGGACTCCACAAGTTCCCATGTTTGCAATTGATTTGTCTGCCATTGTCATCCTGCTAGAATCCATAACAAATCTTTTTCCATGTCTCTCCTCTCTCTCTTTTGCAGCAATTGAAGGTTTAATAAGTAAGACATTGGGATACTTTCTTGGTTGACTTCTATGGGGGAAATAATCAAAAGACAAATCAGCTTCACTAGTCTGAGAAACCTGCATGCTTAAATCTGCTGTGAAGATTTGTTCACTTGACATGAACCCTTTTTATTTGGATATTTCCTTATTTGAGTTTTCCCCCCGAGTGACTGAAGGCTCTGAAGCATGTAATGATTTAAGTATTCAGTAGGATTTTACAAGCTCCATACATACATATTTACTTTCTATACAGATGCGGTGCTGTAGAAATTAATCCTGGGTTCAAGTCAAGTGGTGCCAAGATAATCCAAAATGGACCCAGAGACAAAATGCTCTACACTGCATGAAGTGACCTCACTGTCCCTACCAGATTCTCAGTTAATTTCTGATCAGCAATGATTAGGCCTTGACACCTTGCACTGCGCTTCAAAATCCATAGATTAGCCTCCCGGCTAAACTAAACATGCTAGTTATGATGCTAATTTAGACTATATTTGGTGGTGGGAAGAGAGTACTTGTCATAAGCACTATCCTTCAATTCTGCACCAAGTCTTTTTGTTTTCATTGTTCCACAACGCTCCCTCACTATGCTCACAAACTGGCTTTAAGACAACTTTGTACTTGACTTTTGCACCTCCAAAGCTCAAAGAAACAGCTCGTCTTTGCTTCTGAGGTTGACACTGGTAGTGTTGAAATATTCTTTAAGTGTGTCCTTGTCTTTGCCCTGTAGAGGCAAGCCTCCCAGGAGAGGAAATTGGTGATGATAAGAGCTGCCACTGTGAGTTTCTCACTCAAGAATTACCTCTGGGATTGAAGGTTACAATAAGGGCAATCTGGTAAGGATTTGCTTTACTGTGCAGTTTCTATGGTTCAGCGAAATTTCTTTCACTCACGAGGGGCAATTATGGCTTGCT